AGAAATCATCAGGCACTTTTCTTGCTGTCCTCTGTCTGACTCTTAACAGTTCTTTCGTTACTCACTATGCTGAACATGAGTACCAAACACAAAAACTTATAAAACAAAGGAAAACCAAAACTGTCAAAAACAATCTACTTGGTTTCAGTGATCTCTAAGGAATAATGTGTGTGGGTTTGGTAGAAAAGTATAGTGATAGATACTTAGGAAAATAATACTATTTACTCATTTTCTCTTTTTTAATTATATTTCATAAAAGTCTGAGAAAGATAGAAGACTGATTTCTACAGAAGTTATGCAGTTAATTGAATGTGAAATTAAAATTTTTAAGCTATATTTACTTAGCTCACCAAAATTAATCCTGTTGTTTCATATTTAACTTTTTAAAAATAAACTAGGTTTTGATAAAAATTTGCTTGATAGTCTAAGCAGATTTACCTCCATCTGCTATTACTCATTAATTTTAATCTAATAGCTGGATATAAATTTATAAGCACATTTTCATCCCTCTCCTGTTTGCTTTGTATGTTTTAGTGTAGTTTTCATCATGGCTCTTTACTAGATTATTACCATCTGCCACAATGCAGACTTGTTTGCATACAAGTTTCTTTAAAAAAAAAATAAAGCAACAAAAACTAACAAATTAGTTAATCCCTTACCATTAAACAAATTCAGCTTCTTTTTTGCGGTGGGGCGGGGGACACAACGACCCAAGTTTGAACTCAGGGCTTCATGCTTGCAAAGCACACAATCAATTGTTTGAGTCATGCCTCCAGTCCATTTTGCTCTGGTTATTTTGAAGATGGGGGTGGGGGTCTCAGGAATTGAAGCCTGGCTTCAAACTTCAATCCTCCCAATCTTATCTCAGCCTCCCAGGGGGCTAGGATTATAGGCATGAGCCACCAGCTCCAGCTCAAATCCAACATTTTAAATAACTCTTTCTGTTAGAAAATTCCTCCTTGAATATCTATACTCTTAACACCTCTTATTCTGCCTCAAGGATGATGAAACAGAATAGCTGATAAACTAAGACATATACACAAGTGACCTTAGCCCTACCACCTTCAAAAGACCCATTCTTAATTAACTGCAAATTTCCAACTTAATCATTTTCATTTTCTAATTTAGTACCATCTTTAAGCTGTTCATATCCCTCAGGCTATGACACTCCAAATATATGTCTTACAAAAAACTTGACCAATGAAAAACACATTAATTTGTGGCCATATAAGTAAGACAAACTCCATTCTCTTTTGTGCCTAATTTTTTGCTGCCCCAAGCAAAAACAGGTTCATTCAGGCATGGAGCCTGGACATAGTAAAAACATGGTATAACTAAGAAAAAAAACTGGAAAATCAAATCCTTGATTACTCAGTCTAGAAGTCAGCACTACGCTTCTGGAATGTTCTATTATATGCATCTAGTGGGCAGGCATAGTGGTAAATGCCAGAATCCTATGAGAATGGCCAACAGGAATTTCAGAAAGACTCATCAGAATTCTCACCCAGTCACGCAAGATCAGCACTTGCTAGGCACCCCCTGGATGTGGAGGCTAAGGAAGCTAGTCTACCACATCCTAACTTTGTCTCCTATTCTAGATAGCCATTGATACATAATACCCTTTATTTATATTAAAAGAACTAGCATTCTTTGCCTTTATCTGCTGTGGTGGTTTTTCTGTTAATCACATCTACAACTTATAGATTACTAGTTATCTTATCAACCCATATAAATAAATAAATAAACCATATCACCAAAAAATAGTGGAGAACAAAACAAACAAAATTGTAACTTGCTTGTTTCATGCCACCTCATATTTAAATGAATAATTATAATAACAAGATTACATGGTACGCAGATACTTATCCTTTATCCTTTATTTGCCTGGAGTTGAGATATAAATACAAAAGGTATTTCTTTGGTGTGGGGTCTAGACAAGAACATTGACCATCTTGAGTTCACATCTTGGTGTTGCTACTGACAGGTTGTCATGTTAACAAATAATGTAATCCTTTAAATATCTAATTTATCCAATCTACCCATTAAAATGGAAATTTTATACTTCTTTCACAAAGTTGTTACGGTAAAAAAAAAAGTTTAATTAAAAAAGACAATTTCACTGTTTTACTCCACAAGTCAGTTTCATATCCTAGAGCTTTCTCGTATCTTGACTATACCATTATCGGCTGTGTAATACTGCTAAAGATTAAAATTATAATTTAACCAGTTTTGAGAAGAATGCAAGAATAAGAATTTTTTCAAAGTTCCCCAAGTGACTGCTGTGCACCCATTGTCTAGCTCCTCTATCCCTCCATTTCCTTGCACTTTCCTCTCTCTCCAAACTGTATCCCGTAGTAATCATCCCAACTACTCTCTCAACAGCATTCTTAAGATCCCTATAGTCCCATCCTTCTAAGACACTCATTCATTAAAACCCAAACCTAGATGTCTAGGTCATAATGCACTATATTCCACAGATGAGTGCTGCCAAAGGCAGACAAACTAGTATCCATGACACTACAGTTTCTCACTTTTATCTGGGCTCTCAACAATCTTTTTTTTAACTCGTGAATAGCTTTTATCTCTCCAGTTGACCCCCACCACCACTACCACCAAACTACTGCAAACTTTGATGAAACAGTAAAGATTGCTAGTTTTATTATTCACCCTTAAATATATCTTAATATTGTTTGACAAAATGAGGAATACACATACCAAAGAACAATGATTATTCCAAGGAAAAGCACTGTGTGACTGAGCTAACCAAGTTGCAACTCTTTTTTTAAGGAACGGACAGAAAACCTAGGGTTACTCAAACTTGGGTATATGAAATACATTTTCTCAAAAATGAACCATGTGAACCTATCATTTCAAGGAAACAACAGACAGTACTTGCTGCCAGTGAGAATATTTGAGCTTTTAAGTGAAGATTCAAATTTTGGAAAACTCCTATTTTTTACATGATCTTGACAGCTTCCCAGCATTTGCAGTTCAAAACTGTAAGTTACAAAATGGCTTACAAACACATGAAAATTTAAATAATGATAAAATCGCTTGGATTGTCCTTAAAGCCATACTATATTTGGAAATGCACCAAGGCAATACTTTATAAACTGCCCCAAGAACCAGAGAGTCAAGAATGACCCATATACAAATTATGAGGAAAAACCAGAAATGGGTAATAGCTGTCAAGGAAGGCTCTATATAAATAAAATGAGTTGGGACTTGAAAAATCCTGTCAATCACTGAGATTGACAGGAAAAGTAAGGCATTTGAGGGTGCTTGCAATATATACAGCGTATGTATGTTTTAAAAGGGAAATACTGTCTTCAGGTATATTTTTATCATTTCATATGTATGAATTCAAACTCTCGAGTGGTATTTTAAAATCCTTAAAGCAGGGGTCACAAATTACAATTCTTTGCTATCTGCTAGAGAGACTAACACAAGATCAAATATTTTGGGGGGAAAATTGAGGTTTACAAAGAAGGGAGGAAGCAGAATAGTAATAATAAAAATTATGATAATGTAAGACCTAGATTAAATCTCAACTCTGGAACTTATCCAGGTTACCTTGAATAATTTAGTAAACCTCACTTCTTGAAACTCAAATACACCTTACTTGAGGATCACCCTACAAACACCCTAACTAAAAGTACCATGGATAACTAAAAATCAGATAAGAAGTGAAACTTTGTGTTTCTATTTTTACAATTGCCTTGCTTTTTTCATGTTATTCTCAAATAAAGAACTGATGTTATTTTAACTTTTCATTTTAGCTATAGAAATTCTTATGTACAAAGAAGATAATATGTATTTAATACAACTGTATTATTGAAATGATTGTTTCTGTAATGTGTCTCAATATGGCAGGCAGATTTTAAAATATTCTCAATACAGTATAATGTTATCTATATTTTTGAAATCTAATGCTTAGTAGAACTATAATGTCAGAGACCTGATTCCAATTTATTCCTCTTCAGATATTCTAAAATACTGAATTCTTAGGGGTGAATCTAATTAACATGATTGTAAGCACATATGTAAATGTTACAATGAAATCCCACATACAACTAATATGCTAATAAAAATGAAAAAAAAATACCCCCATACAACTAACATGCTAATAAAAATGGAAAAAAAGTACCAAAAATAGTATTCTTTTTCCTCCCATCTATTTACTTCACACATTTCTCCAGTCACTCTATTATCTCCTCTTTTCTATAAATATTCACACCAGGCTCCCAAACACACACTTCCTTCCCTCTTCATTCCTATATCCTTCCTGAGGCAACTACTGCCACTAGAGGGCAGTAAGTACACAAAGATAAATACCTGTGATGAGTTGAGATTCGCATGCTTATTAATCTAAAAGCTGTACTACTATAAGCCTTAAAGCAAAGAAAATCAGACTTGAATATGCAAGACATGTATTATCTTGGAAAGAGTCCACAGAAGCATAGAATGGTGTTCAATAAAAAATGAATTCTATTTTCTCAGGAAGTACTTACTAAAGAAATACACCTAATTTCCTTAAAGGTGGATAGTAGTATTAGAAATCAGGATTCTTTAAAATCAGCCTCAGACTAATAAGATAAAGGGAGAAAGAAAAACACAGAAAGGTAGACAATGCACAGTAAGTAGAAAACTAAGAACTGATTTCTTCAAACTCTTAACACATTCACATTGAGAAAACAATGAATTAAAAAACCAAAGATGATTAACCAACCCTTCTACTAAAAAGCAAGGATTTTAGAGGTATATTTTGGATGAAGGAAAGTACTCACTGTAGAAGATAAACACAGTCTTCAGAACTTTTTTTTCACAGTTAAGAATTCAAAGGAAAGAGAAATTAAGAATTATCAATCTTTGACAGATTACTAATTTTTACACAAACTCTAACTTCAAATGAACTTATTTTTGTTATGTTTACTTATACTGACATACAAAACTACAATACTTACAAAGACAACATTTTTAGCAAAATGTAATTTTCTTACCCTCATTGGATGTATATCAGCATAAGGAGGTTTTCCTTCAGCCATTTCTATAGAAGTAATGCCAAGGGACCAGATGTCAGCCACGCAGTTATAGCCTATTTCTTGAATTACCTCAGGAGCCATCCAAAATGGAGTTCCTATTACAGTATTACGTTTTGCCATTGTGTCCTGCAATAACATTAGATATAAACTATTACAAAGACCCACTGGTGGAGTGGCTCAAGTGGTAGAGCACCTGCCTACCAAGTGTAAGGCCTTGAGTTCAAACCCCAGTACCATCAAAAAAAAAAATTATCACATCAAACTATTACAAAGATCCAAAGGAAATTTATATACCAATGTATTGTTTAAAATCATATGTTAAACCTCCAAAGACCATAGATTCTATTGGAAATTAACTACTTTCCAAACTTAAACTAGTTACAACATGACATATCTTGGAATTTTAAATTCTGAAATAATCAAGAGTCCACAAGTAAATTACTCTAGTTCATTAAAGATAGTCATCATAAAAATAAAAACTACAAAAAACAATGTACCAAGAGGAACTATGTAGCTTCCTTTTCACAAAACACAAGAATTATGACAAGATAGATTTTTATATTCAATGACCCTTAAATGGTAACTAAAAGAAATAATACCAAATTTGGCTCAATTATGGCTGCTCCACAAAAATAATGAAGTTGCATATTTCTTCCCACACTCCCAAAAAAGTTATCAAAGTTTGGACACAATCAAACCTGAACAGTCAAAAATTTTTCCAAAAGGATTAGAGTCAACTTACTGTTAATTGGCCAGCCACTCCAAAATCTGCCAGTTTTGCATGTCCCTCTGTATTAAGGAGAATATTTCCAGCTTTTATATCTCTGTGTATTTTTCTCATAAAGTGCAAATATTCTAATCCCTTCAGTGTAGACTTTAGAATGGTTGCAATTTCATCTTCTGTCAACTAGAAAGAAATATTTTTACCATATTGAAACACTGTGTTGGATAAACTCTTACAAAGCATAAGAAGTAATTCTAATACCCAACAAACCTGTACAAAAAGACTAAAGCATAAAGAACTTCTTTTCCACTACCACCCCAACAATACTCTGTCATTCTTATCACACACTTTGATGATGAAATTGATTAGATTTCTCTTTTCTTTAAAATTATCAATTCATAAAGCAATGAACATGACCCAAGAATAAGCACGACAATAAGAAATCACTATTTCCCATGTCATTTAATACTTGGGTGGTGTAGCTATCATGAAAAAAAAATTCAGATACTCTTTCCTGTGATGCCTATAATTCTTTAGAAAAACAAAAATTGAAGCTTTACATGAAGGAATAGAAATGAAGGAGGATGGCTTGCCATAAGTGTCCTGCATGAAGCACTTACACTAGTGCCACTCCTGCTTCCAGCCAGGTCATCCCTAATCCACCCAAGTCTGGGATTTTTGCCTAATTCTGAAAACTCAAAAAGGAAAATGTCAGAGCAAGATCAGGATAATGAGAACACAAGCAAAGGCAATCAGAGGAATGAAAAAGGAGAGAAGAAAGAAGGTTGAAGATAGAAGGGAGGAAAAGGAAACATTTCTAACTGTTGTAGCAATGCTATCTATAGCATTACTAAGAGTTTTGCATGTTTTATCTCATTTATCCTTATGACCATCCTATGAAGTACTGTGATGTTATAAAATAATAAGAAATAATTCATCTTCTTTCAATGTTCCTACCATCTGAAATTTGTTGACTAATAAGAGGATAAGAAGACAATTTTTTAATTCATCATATGCCCCTTTCAATTATACCTGAGTTTATTTATGTTAATGAGTGACTTTTCCTAGGACCTACACAATTTTAAGATGGGACCTGGTTGCTAGGGGAAACAATCATTGATTAAAAGATTGGAAATCTCATCCCTATGCCTGGATTTTTGACTTAATCACCAAGGTCCAATGACTTAATCAATTATGTCTATTAAATGAAATCACCATAAAACCAAAAATGAAGGAACTTGCATTCTCTGCACAGAGGAAATGATAATTTGATAGAAAACAGGCTAACACAGAAAAAGGTCAGTGACAACTGTTATGAGGATAATAAAAGAGATTATAATAATAATAGCGAATTACTAAGAAGCTACTTTAGATTAGATATCTAAGAAGATCTGAGAGAGTTTAATTATTTTTATTGTTGTTGTTGTTTGGCAGGGGAGGCCTGGGGATTGAACCCAGAGCCTCATGTATACTAAGTAAGCATGCACTCTACCGCTGAGCTATACCCCTGGACCCCACCAAAAGACATTTTCACTGAGGTCCAAATGACATGAAAGTTATCTGGGAACAGAACAGTCCACATGTGGGAGGGTGGGGGAATAAAAACACCTTGATTGAACTTCTCAAATATTTCCAAAAAAAAACGAAGAGGAGGTAATTTATTTTATGTGGTATTAACCTAACACCAAAGGCAGAAAAAGACACTGCAAGAAAAGAAAACTACAGACCAAAATCTTTATGAACATTAATGCACAACTCTTCAACAAAATACAAGCATATTCAATTCAGCAAAACCAAATGAAATTTATTTCTGGAATGTAAGGATGATTTAACACACAAAATTGAAACAATATAAATTACCACATTAAGAGAATGAAATACATGAAATCACATGATCATCTCAACTGCTAGCAGAATCATTTGGCTAACTTTAACACTCTTTCATAATAAAGCACAGCAAACTAGAACTCAAATTACAATATCTCAAAAAACAATAAAAGCCACAAAGGAAAAATCCACACAAACATCATACCCAATGGTGAAAAATTTAAAGCTTTTTTCTTCTAAGATCAGAAACAAGCTGGTATACCTGTTTTGACACTTTTAATCAACATAGTACTGGAAAGTTCTAGCCAGCACAATTACATAGAAAAAGAATAAAAGACATCCAAACTGGAGAGAAAGAAGTAAAATTATCCCTGTTTGCAGACCAATAAAACTGTCAGAACTAATAAATGAATTCTACAAAGTAGCAGGATACAAAGTCAACACACAAAAATCAATTGTATTTCTATAAACCAATAACAAGCAATATAAAAAGGAAATTATAATAACAATTCCATTTACAATAACAGCAAAAGAATAAAATACTAGGAATTAACCAAGAAGGAGAAAGACTTGTACGATGAGAACTACAAAACATTACTGAAAGAAATTAAAGAGATAAATAAATGAAAACATATCCCATGTTCATGAAAAAGAAGACCTACTATTGTTAAGATGCCCATATTAACCAAAGCAATGCACAGATTAAGTAGTCTTAATCAAAATCCCAGTGATGTTAATGGAGAAATTTTAAAAACCCACGTTAAAATACATGAAGGATCCTAAGTAGCCAAAACAATCTTTAAACAGAAGAATAAAGCTGGAGGACTCTTGCTTCCTGATTTCAAAACTTATTGCAAAGCTATAGTAATCACAACAGGGTGGTACTGAAACAGAGAAAGAAATAAGGATGAATGAAACAGAGTAAAGAACCCAGAAATAACCTGTACACAGACTATCATGTAACTATAAGCAAGCGTACCAAAACCATTTAATATGGAAAGAACAGTCTATTCAATAAATGACGTTAGGAAAACTGGATATCCACATGCTAAAGCACACCAAATATCATAACAAAAATTAACTCGAAACAAAGATCTAAAACTATGTAATTCTTAGAGGAAAAATAAGACAAAAGCTTCACAGTATTTGATGTGGCAAAGATTTCCTGGACATGACCAAAAAAAGCACAGGAAACAAAAGAAAACACAGACAAGCTGGGCTTTATGAAAATATTTTAAATTTGTGCATTGAAAGACAATCTCAGGCTGGGGTGAGCTCAGTGGTAGAGTACATGCTTAGTAATGCGTGAGGTACTAGGGCTCCATTCCCAGCACTGCAAAAGGAAAAAAAAAAAAAAAGATGATCTCAACAGACTAAAAACACAACACACAGAATGGGAGAAAAACTGCAATTTATATATCCAATTAGAAATTAAAATCCAGAACATAGAGAAAACTCCTAAAGCTCAACAATTAAATAAAAATTTGATTCTAAAATAGGCAAAGGACTTGAATAGACATTTCCACAAAGATAAGCAAATGGCCAACGTGCACATGAAAAGATGCTCAACATCAGTAATCATTAGGAAATTAAAATCAAAAATCAAATCCACAATGAAATGCCGCTTCACTTTATAAGGACTACAAGTGAAAAGCAAAATAGCAAGTGGTAACAAAGATGTGAAGAAATTGGAACCTTTGTGCACAGTTGGTGGGAATGTAAAATGGTACAGCTGTTGCAGAAAACAGTATGATAATTCCTTTAAAATTAAACACAGAATTGCCTTTTGATCTAGAAATTCCAGTTCCCAGCAAACAGCAAAATTAAGTGAAAGCAGAGTCTCAAAGAGAAATTTGCATACTGTATTCACAGCAGCACTATTCACAATAACTAAAAAGCGGGGAGCATGGCTCAAGCAGCACAGCACCTGCCTAGTAAGTACAAAGTCCTGAGTTTAAAATCCCAGCATCACAAAAAAAAAAAAAAGGTAAATATTGGGCAGAGTGTGCTGGTACATACCTGCAATCCCAGCTACTTGGAAGGTAAGAAGGACTGCAGTTCAAGGCCAACGCAGGCAAAAAATTAGTGAGACCATTCTCAAAAAACACACCAGGCATCCCAGCTACATAGGAGGGGTAAGTAGGAGGAACAGGTCTAAGGCCAGACCCAGGCAAAAGGTGTGAGACCCTATTTGAAAAATAACTAAAGCAAAAAAGGGTAGAGAAGTGGCTGCAGTTGTATAACACTTCCCTGGCAAGTGCAAGGTCCTGAGTTCAAACCTCAGTACTACCACCCCTCCCAAACAAAGATAAAATTTGTTTTGTGTATTTGACCACAATAAAAATAAAATTAGGAGGGGGGAAAAAAGTAGCTTGATTCAAGAAAAGTCAATGATACTTGAGTTAAAGAAAGAAAGCTAAAGTTTAGTGAGCTAGGAAGAAATTAGCTCTAGATGAGATCTGAGAGACAGGCAGGATTCAGATTACATTAGGCTTTACCAGCCACAGAGAAAGAATCTGGATTATTTGAACATTCTGGTGTTTCCAGAAATTTCTTCTCTACCTGAGATGAGATGGTCTATCTTAACAATACACAGAAGGTAAACACTATCAATACAGTAGCAACTAGTAGCACAAGGTTTTTAAGCATTTGAAATATGACATAAAGGTAAAATATACACCAAAGATCAAGGCTTAATACAAAAAAGAGAATGTAAGATATCTTACTAATAATTCATACACTGGTTCCCTTTTAAGTGTTGTATAGTAATATTGTCTAATACTAATACATTAACATTAATATTATATGTATATTATAAAATACTAATGTTTGCTTTGTTAATTTGTTAAAATATATTACCTATTATATAACAATGATATTTTAACATGTTAATAAATTATTAAATTAATTTTAACTTGTGCCTTTTTATTTTTATATGTGACTATTTGATAATTTTTCATTACATGTCACTCATGTTACATTTCTGTTGGACAGCACTTGCACTAAGAAACAGTCCAAAAAAGCAGAGATCTTTGTTTGTTATGGATGTATCCACAATGCTTACAGCCATGCCTGGCTCAATAAGTAATGAATGAATGGGTACAGAACTGTTGATACAAACAGAAAGGAGATGCCCTCTTCCTGATATTCCAAATCTTTCTAAATTAGTGGTTTGCAGTCAAGGTCAGAAAGTGGAAGGTAGGAGAGTTGTTTAGGGCCACATCTACCACTACAGGGGGTATGCAAGGTGGGATACTATTATATGAGCCTCACTTTTCTCCTTTCCCCACCCTCACTAATTATATAGAGAAAAAAAGGGCTTGGGGTGTTACAACATCAGTATCAATTCATAAAAC